ATTATTAGTCACTAAAATGCCAGTGATATGTGTGCTAAGTGCATCCAACTATTCACTAAAAAGACCCAATAGTTTTAACATAGTTACAAGTCCTAGGCATGGTTTAAGCTATTCAAATTGTAAGTACAGTTTCCTAGATTCAAATATCAAGTCTCCCAAGTTGTCCAACTCATTGAGTTATGTTTTTATTTTATCTGATAAGGAGTTAATATTCAGAATATATAAAAGAATTCCTACAACTTAATAGCGAAAAAATAAAAAATGAACAAAGGGCTTGAATAGATATTTCTCCAAAACAGACATACAAATGGCCAACATGTATAAGAAAGAGTGTCCCATCACCAATCCTATGGAAATAAAAACCACAATGAGATATAACTTCACACTCGTTAGGATGAACACTATTAAAAAAAAGAAAAAATGTAATAAATGTTGCTAAGGATATTGAGAAACTGCAACATTTGTACACTGCTGGTGGGAATGCAAAATGATGCAGCTGCTATGGAAAACAGAATGGATTTTCCACAGAGATTAAATTCAGAACTATCAAATAATCTGGCAATTCCACTTCTTGTTATATATCCAAAAGAGTTGAAAACAAGATCTCAAAGGGATATTTGCACACCCATGCCTAGTTCAGCATTATTCACAATAGCCAAGGTATGAAAATAATCTAAATGTCTATCAACAAATTAATGAATAAATAAAATGTAGTATATATAAATGGAATATATTCTACCTTTGAAAAGAAAGAAATCCTGTCATTTGCTACAACTGGCTTAAACTTGAAGACAGTATGCTAAGTAAAATAAACCAGTCACAAAAAGATAAATACTGCATAATTCCACTTATTTGAGATATCTAAAGTAGTCAAACCCTGGAACAGAAAGAAGAGGGGCGTTTCCCAGAGGCTGAGGGAAGGGGAAAAGGGGAGTTGTTACTTCACGGGTACAGAGTGTCAGTTTTACAGCATGAACAAGTTCTAGAGATCGGTTGCTTGACAGTGTACATATAATTACACTACAATAATGTACATGGAGGAATGATTAAGATGGTAAATTTTATGTGTTTTTCATCACAATACAAAATAAAAGAGGGGGAAAAGGCATGAGTTCAAACTATGATGTACCCACTCTTCTACGAACAGATAGCAATGATGAATTAAAAAAAAAAAAGCCCGGACGGTGTCGCTCCGTGGTTGAGCATCAACCCATGAACCGAGAGGGTGCCAGTTCGAGTCTCCATCAGGGCACATGCCCAGGTCGCAGGCTCAGTCCCTAGTGGGGGGGGTGCAGGAGGCAGCCAATCGATGTTTCTCTCTCATCGATGTTTCTATCGCTCTACCCCTCTCCCTTCCTCTCTCTCTAAAATAAAAAAAAGAATATTTAAAAATAAATAAGTAAATAAAATATAATAAGTAAAAAATAAATAAGTAAATAAAACATAAAATATATATAAGGCCTATATGACAGAGCCAGGGTCAAAGCAAGCTAAGCCCCTGTATAGGATGGAAACACAAAGCACTGAGCAGGTCACAGCTGCAGGCCTACTGGGCTTCAGGTCCTGAAGGAGGCCCTGTGACCCAGAATTGTGCTCTGCTCAGGTCAACGTCAATAAAAGCCCCTGTGTAAACTAGAGGGCCAGAGCCAGGCTACCTGCCCGTACCAGGGGCTGCAATCATTTACCTGCTCCAACTCTTATAAAGCTGAAGTAAAATATGCTGTTGCTACTTTAGGCAAGAGGCAATGACAATAGATACAGCCTCCCAGTGAGAGGCACTAGACCAAGCCACACCCTAGCCCAGGCCTCCTCTGCTAACCCCAATGTTACCCTAGGAGCTTTGCAATGACTCATAATTTCTTATTCTAAGTGGGAGGCTGGATAGAGAAAACCAAAAAGAGTGCTCGGAAGAGGGCAGACCTCAGAGGAAGAGGTAGACCTGGGACAGGGAAAGAGAAAGAGAAATGTGCCTGTAGATCAAAATTCCAAACACATAAAGAATTCATTCTAAATTCTACTATAACCTAAATCTACTTCTAAAAATGGCATATGATTTCATTTTAAAGTATAACTAATCAAATTGCCAGGAAGGATGGCGGTGCTCCCTGAGCAAGAAAACACCCTCAGGTCTGTCAGCTGTTTGGAAGGAGGGCAGAAACACTAAAAATATTTAGCAATCTATATACTTATGTATGTATGTATATATAGATTAAAGCCACCTGTTAAAAATAAGGGTAAATCACCAAAGGGATGGAATTACACCCTACCTTTACAAAGTGGCAGAAAAATGAAAATACATAAACTACAATAATAAAAGCAAACCCAGGGGCACCAACAATCTCATTAAATGCATATGGATTTTCCTCACAGTCACTCTGTCTTTCCCACTCTCTCCTCTCTCCTGGAGAGAGGGAAATCAGAAGTAACAAGGGAATTAATTCTGGTTTAAACACGAATACGGACCAGGTAAATAACACTAGATAAGTGATATTTGTGAATTTCTCTTGCATGCTAAGTTTGTTTCTTTAGGACGTCTTGGGTGGCAAATCAGCCAGGCACCCCCCTCTCCCACTCCTTCCCCACCGCGAACTCAGGTTCTGGCCCTTACTGGTACGCCAGACTACTCTGTCTCACATAAAGTAGGAAACTGCTTTTCCAATACCCTCTAACCTTAACATATACCAAACACCCAGGACGGCCTGTGTTAACAGGCTGTTTTAACTCACCGCAAGGCCCTGGCTGCGGGAGTGCTCTCCTGCTGAGCAAACCACACCGGCAGCACAGCATTCAGTGTGATGAAGGCCCGATGCCAATTCTCTTTCAGGTCTGCCTCCCCCATGCTGGCCCCTTTAGCCCTGTAACAAAATCTTCAGACCTCTACTGACTGTTTAAAATGAAAAACCAGCACTTACTCCTATTAGTCCTATCCAGGAAGAGGGTGGTTTTGAAAGTAGGAGCCCTGATGATCGATGTTAGCGATGTTATGCTTATAAAGGAAAACTGTTCCCAATAGCCCTGCGGGACCATAAGCGGGGAAAAGCATTGTGATTCTTGGTTTGAGGCAGGTTTCATTTAAGTGCAGAGGAAAACTGAAAATCTAGGTACCCCAGGCAGGTAACTCAGCAAACAGCTGACGACTGGCTTTACTAAGATCTTAGCTCCTTTACAAAAAAGCACCTACAGGAAGATTCTCTTAGTAAGAATTTCTCAAAACCTCCTCTGATGGGCTCAAGCCGTGCGTCTCTGAAAATGCTGCAGAGTATATTCTTTAGTCGTCTCATAATGAAAACCCAGCCTCCTCCCGGGAACTCTGGGACTGCATCCAACAGGGTGACCCCTCCACATTTCTGCCCCCCCCCACACACACACACTCTCTTACACAACTGCCTCTTGCCTATAGTACCACTGCCAGACTTTCTGTGTTTTTCTTCCTCCCAGACCTTTGGAAAGAAACTCTGCTCCAAAGAAATAAACTCTACAGTTTTGTGAAATTACAACCAGAATTATGACCTTTTAAATAATAATAAATAATGACTTTCTAAATATAAATATAAATGTAAAATACTCAGCCTTTAACTGTTGACCCGATGATTGATTAAATCCTTAAATCACAGCTATCCTTAGATCATCTCCATGTTATAGCTTGTAGTACATTAAAATTTTTAAAACAGAAGTTTAAGAAACTGGAATTATTTAAAGTAACAACCTGTTATCTTGCCTTTTATTTTAATTTTTACGTTTAACATATAGACTCACAATAGCTGACATTGAGAACTGTTAGAATTATGACACACCAAGAATAAAAGCCCATTGTTTTGACCAAAAATATATTTATCTTTGAGTATTATTTTGAGTAGAATCTGTTGAAAAATGTGTATGTAAACATCTAGTACATAAATGCATATTTAGGTCTGACTATGTTCAACAGTAAAACAATAACTTTAAGAATTCTAACATGAATGACAGATATATTACTAATATGAAGCATAGTATACCAAAGATTCACTTAATTGAATACTGAAAAAGTTTAATAGAAGTTATTCAATAACTAATTTAGAATCTAGTAGGCATAAGTGAACTTCCTGAATAACCTTGTGTTATTTACTGAGAACACAGAAAGTAAGGGTGGAAGCCTGTAACCATGATGTTCAAGGATATTTCTTCGTGAACGACAAATAGACAACTCCCTTATAAGAGAACAGAAATTATATATACACAAGATTCAGTGCAGCCACATCCTCTCTCGGTGCATAAATTATTATCTTGAGAGCGAGACAGAATATCATTAACTGCTTTCAAGTATGTCAGTGCTGATAACCTAGTCACTGATGTTAACTAACTTTATCAGCTTTGGATTTAAAAGAGGCATCAGACAACATCATTTTAAAGGTTCAAAAATTGTGTCAAAGAGAGGAGGTGACTTGCCCAAAGGGATAACTTCAGAGTAACTGAAATGCAAATAAAGCTCAAATATCCCAGCCCTTACTCCAGAGCTATTCCACAAATTCACATTGCCTGCAAAGTGGCCAGTTACACCAGGAATTTGACGAATCAGGTACTGCACAGACTTTATTAAACACAATGAAAGCATGACCTAATTTTAAAAGTTCTTCCTCCATACTAAGACAGAGAAGACTCCCAGACAAACTGAAAAAAGCTTCCTAAACCATCCTGTGTGCTTAAAGAAGAGGTAACAGGAGAAAGGAAAAATGACTCACTTCTGATATTAAATAGAAAGGTAAAATTAAAAAAAAGATAGTTTATCCTCTGAGAGCGGAAGCTAAATGAAGAGAATTTACACTGCATGGAAAGTAACTAGCTCTTTCTCAACAGGATAAAACCTTTAACATTCTAAATTATAAAAGCTTCATAATAACAGTGACATACTGGGTCAGAAATGATAAAATTATGTCAACTTCCAATTTTTTCCTGAAATAATGGAATACGGTTACTCCAAAGCCAGTTTACACACACAGACTCACACACGATAAGGGACTTACTGAGCTGTAGAGATAGCCTTCACCATTCATGGCCACATAGAGGCTGGCCTTCACCCCCTGGATGGCCACCACACGCAGGCCCACGGGAATTAGATTGAAGAGGGCTAGAGGGGAAAAAGACAGAGAGGAAAGGAATAAATCATCTTGTTTATTAAGAGGACTCATTTGAGAATTAAAAACTATGAACTGAAATTAATAGGGGGAGAGAGAGAAAGAAAGAGAGAGAGAGAATCCTAAGGATGGGGAGAACTCACCCTTCTTGTCTCTGCACCACCACTATGTGGGTTCTGGTGAACCACATAAACTCATCTGTAACAAAGGGGCTACATTATTAGAAGGTTTCTAAGGGCCCCACCCGGATCTGAGAGTCCAAGATCTCCCCTCTGCAAAATGAACATATATTCAAACAGTGTAATATAAATGTTTGTTTTTTACAAATAATTTAAACCAAAATTTTTTCAATAGTGGAACATATTTGTAGTCAGAAATGCTGATAAATTATGATCTTTGTAACATATGCCAGAAGTTCTTCCTTTGTTCTTACCACTGTCCTTGTGGTGCTGAAATAACTCAAGAAGTACAAGACCTTAGAGTCTAGTTGGGGAGAGAAAGCTAAGACATATGGAATCATCTGATACAGTGTATAATTTATGTCTATAATTAAATGTAATATATGCATTCTATATATATATTCTCTACATTACAAAGTTCAGGGAAATGGAAGGTCTGTATGGAATGAAGTATTCAGGAAATGTCTTACACAGAAGATGGGACCTGAGCTGACACTTAAAGAAAGAGCAGCAGTTGAGTGAGCCAGGGACAGAAGGACATTCAGTGGGACAGTAAATGAGGTGGTTCTGCAGGGTAATAGGTGTGTACAGGAAGAGACTGGCAGATTGGAAGATTTATTTCATATTGAGGAGAAATGGAAAAGAACACCATGTAGATAAAGTAGGGATAAATGACTGAGATCCTGGCATTCTCATCTTAGAGATCTAGACTTCTCTAAATGGGCAACAAGAAGCTGACATACAAAGATTCGAGCTGCAAGATTACAAAAATGTGTGACTTGCAGACAACATAGTTTCTAAACCCACCACTCAGAAGCTGCACGGCTTTGAGCTACTCATGTCACCTCTCTGCTTTAGTTTTCCTGTCTGTAAAATGGGCAAAATAATCTTCACTGCACAAAGTTGATAGAGGAACTAAATGCGTAATCATGTCCTTGAAAGTGTTTCATACACAGAGATGTGGTCTCTCCATATAAAAGTTATTTGCCATTAATATATAATTTCCTGTGTGTCAAGTTCGGTTAGCATAGGGTCTGATTTAAAAACTCATATCACCCCAGTAATATTTAGGTTTATATTCAGAAGGTTACTTAATACTTTAAAAAAGAATACTTCATATTTGTGCAACACTTAACTGTCAAAATGCCAATAAATCTATTATTGTATTTGACCCTCAATCACAAACACTAAGAAGAATTTAGGACAGAATGATTATCCTAACTTTTAGAAGGACAAACAGATTCAGAGGGATACCCAGGTAAAACAGCATCTGAACAAAGCTCTTCTAGATCTCTAATGTGGTTAGCTGCCCAAATTATCATAGTTCCCCCGTCTTCCCTCGTAAGTTTAATTTATCCTAATATCTTTTCTTACCTTCTTGCAAAGTAATACAGGATTTAGTTATTTCCCTACATGCCCTGCAGCCAGCTGTGGCTGTGGACTCAGTACTGCCAGTCAGATGTAGGCAGAGGGTCTCTGTATGCATGAGGACCCCTTCCCTACAAACAGCTTGTGTCTCCTGCCCTGTTCTCACCCCTTCACCTTACTGCTGTTGGAACAGGGATGTGCTGGCTGGGTCATCCCAGATCCTGAAAACAGGGGCTACTCCTGAGGGAGCGGTGGCGGGCGAGCTAGAAGGAGTTGGGTCCCCGAGGACTTTGTGGAGCAGAGACACCAGTCGTGCATTCAATTACCTAGGTCTGGCATTTACGTGGGAAAATAAGTCCTTGTTATTTTAATCAGCGCAACACAGAGCCAATCCTAATCCTAACTGACAGAGATCGGTAATGACAGCAGTTAACATGGAAGATACAAAATAATGTAAGACACTTATATGCTGTATGTAGATGCATCCACTGGAAAATATCAAGTTCAACGACAATTCTTAAGATGAAAGTAATGACATGAAAAATTGTGCATAATGTCTTTCTAAGGTAAAGATTTCCCAGGAAAAATACAAGAATGTTGGTTCCTTTAACTGAAACAGAAATAGAAAAGCAACTATAAAGATTTATCTATTTGAGGAGAGTGAGAAGAATGAGAGAAAATATCTGCAAACCATATATATGAGAAGGAGTAAAATATCCAAAATATGTAAGGAATTCCTCCAACTCAATAGCAAAAGAACAAATAACCCAATTAAAAAATAGGTAACAGGTCTAAATCAATGGTTCTACAAGGGTGATATGCAAATGGCAATAGATGCATGGAAGTGCTCAATATCATGAATCATCAGAGAAACACAAATCAAAACCAAAGTGAGGTACAGTATCACCTTATACCTGCTAGGATGAACACTATTTAGAAAATCAGAAAATAAGGGTTGTTGAGGATGCAGAGAAACCAGAACCCATGTGCACTGTTGATAGGAATGCAGCCACTACGGAATAAAGGTTCCTCAAAAAATTAAATATAGAAACACCCCCACCATATAATCTAAAAATCCCACTCCTGGTATATTTCAAAAGAGCTGAAATCAAGATCTCAAGAATAATCTGCCTTCTTATGTTCACTGCAGCATTATTCACAATAGCCAAGATATGGAAACAAATATCCATTACTGGATAAAGAAAACATGGTATGGATATATAATGAAATAATATTCCGCATTTAAAAGGAAGACAATCTTGTCCTACACAACGACATGGATGAATCTGAAGGACACTACGTATGCTAAGTGAAATAAGCCACTTCTAAAAGGACAAATACTGCCTTATTCCACTTACATGAGTTATCTAAAATAATCCAACTCATGGAAGCAGAGAGTAGAATGGTGGATGCTAGAAGCCAGAAGGAGAAGGCAATGGGTAGATGTTCAATGGGTATAATTTTTCAATTATGCAAAATAAGTAAATTCTAGTGATATGCTGTACTTACAGTTAACAATATTATATTATGCACTTAACATCTGTCAAGAGAGTAGATCTCACGTTAAGTGTTCTTACCCCCTCTCCACACACACACACAAGCAAAAGGGCATGAAAAAACTTTTAGAATTGGTGGGTATATTTATTACCTTGAATGTGATGATGGTTGCATGGGTGTATGCATATGTCCAAACTCATAAAATATTATACATTAAGTATGAACATTTTTGTATATCAATTATAGTTCAACTAAGCTGTTCTTTAAAAAGGTAATAAAAGAAAATGGTAAAAAAAATTAGTACAGGAATCCATACAGATTTGCAATGCACTGGAAGGATATTCTGACCGATCTCTAGATACTGGGTTCAGCTGTGTGACTTGCTTTGGCCAACAGTATGTTAGTAAATACAAGCACAGTCTTGAAGAAGAACTGATCTACTCCTATTTGTGCATTTCCTCTCTTCCACTGCATTAAGAAGAACATGCACAAAGTAGCCTGCTGATCCTGGGAAAAGTATGTAAGACACCTTGAGCATAATAGCGTGGCCTCAGTAATCCAGCCAAGGCCATTCTAGATTAACTGATAGATAGCTGACCTTCAGATACGTAACCCAGAAAAGATTAGTAGGAGCTGCCTCGCCAACCACAGGAATGAGACAGAAACCCTTGCTGTTGCATGCGTTGAGGCTTTGTGATTATTGGATACATAGCATTATTGTAGTAATGTATAAATGAGCAGAAAAAGTTATTTGGGGAAATGGGTAGTGGATCTGAAATGCCCTGAAATCTTATAACAAAAATTCTCAAATTTGATTAACAATCCTCAACATGAGTATGCAATTGCCAATTATATACTATGAAGCTAAAATAAACTTTTATAAATTAAAATATACTACTAAAGGATCAACTTTGATTAATTATTCTATAGGATCCGCTGGGTTATTTTTACTACAGAGAATGTATTATAAAAGTGTGATCATATGAAAAGGGGCTCAAACAATATAAATACAAAATAATGCAAAGGAAATGCATAGAATCAAACAGTTAAAATATTTTAATATTTCTCCAGATTTTATAAACTTTGTGATAGCTTTCATCTTTAAAATATAGTCTTTTTGTGATTTATTTTCTTATCCCACTCACTTTTGTACCTAATTTTCATTTTGTCATGCTATATTTATTTTTCAAAGGGGTTCCCTAAAGTTATATAAGTGTAGGACCTACAATACTTAAGTTAGTCTCAGAATGAAGTTTCAATGGAAGGAGAGAATGAAAGAAAGTAACAAAGGAGAAAGATAAAACTAAGAGAGATTATTACTTGAATGCCTACTTTTTTTTCAGGCATCATGCCAGGCATTTTGACATACAAAATATCATTTTTAATATAAACTATATATATATGACTGCTTCTCTTTATTTCAGGGTATAAAAGTCCTACCTTCTTTTTTGGGTACAAAGTGGGTAAATAAAGGAAATGAAAAGTGTCATCCTAAACTTTGGGGTAACATTCCACGGCCTTAGTTAACTGAACTCTCATACAGCACTTTGTAAATATCTTGATAATGCCCCTGATTCAAATAATTTATTCAAATAACTTATTCAAATATTTACTGAGCACTTACTGTATGCCACATGTCATGCTCAGGCCAGGGAAATAGATGTATCCAACAGATGTGGTCTCTGGGGAATGACCTTCATCTGTAAATCTCTCTGAGGCTCCTACTATCCGGTGGGCAAGCTGAAGGCCCTGGAAACTGGTACTACTATCCTCGATACCTTGAATAGCATCTTGGTCATAGAAGTCATTACTCAATATTTGAGAAATAATGAGTCAGCAGTGGTTTCTCTTTAAGCTTGCTTATTTATAGCTTTTCTAGATTACATTTCCATAATCAAGCATTAAAAAAACCCCTGAAGGCCCGGCTGGTGTGGCTCAGCAGTTGAGAA